TAATTTAAATTTTTTAAATTTATTTTTATTATTAAAATATTATAAATTATGATATAATTAAATTATATGAAATTGAATTTTAATGAGTAATTTTGTAATTATATTAAATATTAGGCATTTTTTTCTAAAAACTACAATTAGAAAGCTTTAAAATGAGATTTTTAACTTTATATATAAAATTATTGTATATATGCTATGATTTTTTTACAGTTTTTAAAAAAAATAATTTGAAAAAATTTACCAAACACACATATATCTAAAAATACTATATAACTATACGAAAAAACACCCAACCGCAATCCCAAACACACCCTCAAACTTGCAAGTTGCAGCCCATGGAAGGCAATAAATAAGTAAATATTTACATTATCACAAATGAATCCTATATAAAACGAATAAATTATATAACATGTTTGTAAAATGTAATATTATAACTATATTAATTTTTATATTTAATGACATAATTATCTAGACTTTTCATCTGCAAACTGCAAGTCTAGAGACTTTTTTTTTTTTGATGGAGCAAGTCTCCAATTATTAAGAGTTATTAAAAATTAATCACATCACTTTTCATCATAAATATAATAATAATTTAATCACTAAAACTAAAATTTAATATCTTCACAAATTTTGTCTATTAAGAACTTTTTAAGGATATATGCATTCAAATACCTCCAATCCACCATATCTCCACAATTATTAAGAGTTTACTAGAATTTAATTTCCTTCATTAATATTAAAATTTAATATCGTCACATATTTCGTCTAGTAAGAGCCCTTGAAAGATTTGTGTTCAAATTCCTCTTAAAATGCATTAGAAAATTTGATTCAATATAGCAAATTGCAGAGCTTCATACAACATTCTAGAAATCTGAAATCCCCTTGATACTTCGAGGAATCTTGACCAAGAAGAAGGTGAAGATGGTTGCAATGGCATCAATTTTTCTTCTCTGAAATATTGAAGTGAAATCAGTATGCATCCAGGAAAAGATTAATACCAAAAGTGAAGAATGGTGGTTCTGTCCATGAACCACTGACATTGTAACCCTGACAGCATCTAGTGTAGAAAGACAAAGCCTATCGGCTTGGTTTAGGGTTCTGGACAAAAGAGAAAACAAATTACAATAAGTACCTAGCAATTGCAAAATAGAGAATTATCATTTTCAAAGCTGTATAAAATTGAAAACCTGAGAAATAGCAACAAAATTTGCATCTCATACCATCTAGCGGAAAAGCCTTGGCACTGATCTCCTTGGTACTTTGCCTTCAAGCTTTAGTCTTCTATAAGCTTCTCTGATATGGCAAGGCCTGATTGGCCCTGATTCTTTTCTCTCTGTCATAACTATTCTAGCTGTAACCACAATGAACCAATGAAAAAGAGAAGCTAGTCTTGGATCTGGATTGAGTTGTAATCTGGAACTGGATAGCAGCTAATGTTCCAAGTTGCATAATCAGAAAAAGCTTAATGGTGCTGCAGTCACAAGCAATTGTGAAACAGTTCCTAGCAACTAATTGCTCAAACCAACTCCCCAAGTCATAAAATTCATTCATTTTTCTTCTTTTCAAACTCACTGATTGAGTTCTGAAGAAGAAATAGCCAATAAAAAAAAAACATTGACTAGAAGAGAAAAGAGCACATACCTGTCTCAACAAGTTCGCCAACAAACAATTTTGCTATCCCACAAACTACAATTGTCATTGGTAAAGATATTTTCTGGCTTCCAGTGATGCTCACTAGCAACTGCATTCACAACACCAGGAAGAAGAAACAATAAAGACTTCAGTTAAGTGCACAAATGAATTGCCTTCTAGGAGATTCAAATGCATGAATGAACCACCTCACAAGAATGTATGGAAAAATCTTAGCAAATATATTCCCAAAAAGCAGTAAGTCATCCTAACACACAAATCATGCATAATGGCCAAGAATAAATAGGAAATCCACAGTTTTAAACACCGAAGAAGCAGATATTATGATGGAATTTTCTGGAAATAAGTGTACCCTTCTCATGTTGGACTTTTGAAGCGCAGATCTCCTAAAGGATTCATATCTACTCATCTGTTCCTCAGTGAATTGTGATAAAATAGCCCTGAAAAAGAAGAAACATGATAGTTTGAGGCAAGTGTCATCTTCCCAAGGCACCAACCAGTATACCAAGGAAAAACAATTCAGAAGTAGTTCTAATTCATCATTCGAAACAGCCAAAAATTCATTCAGTCCCATCTTATTCCTCTAATCAAGCATTATAGCAGTGCATGGATAGGAAAACAATGGCAATCTTTCTAACATCTGCTTCTGCTTCAACTCCAGAGTGAAAAAAACTCTCTTTCTAGCATCTACTAGCAACAGTTCACTATGTTTGGATCTTACTACATGAATTGAATTCCTTAAGGCTGAAGTACTGTAACATAATAACATCAAGCATCTAATTAAGTTACATTCCTCATTAGCAGATTATTAAAATTGCATAAAACAAGGGGTAAAAGACTCACTGCATCTTGGCCATCTTAGCAGGGTCAGAACTAGAGGGGAATTTTCCAAGCTCAACCTCCATATTCTCCTCCTCTTCCTCCTCCTCATCGTCTTTATGCTTCCCAGCAGATGCATTGGCGGCAGTGGAGGCCAACTTCGGAGCGGAAGTAGATGGTTCAGAGGGATTATTAACGGCGGCGCTAATCTCATCATCATCCCCGCCAGTAAGGACGTCCTGTCCGGCAGGTGTTTGGGTCTCCAACTCATCAGCGGCGATGGGAGATTCAGGAGGCGAATCATCCTGCTCTTCCTGTGCTGCTTCAAACGGATCCTTTGATTGCTTCATTCTTCTCCGCGCCTTTTCAAAGGTTCTTTCTTCTTCGGTTCTGCGTAAGAAACCCTAACGAGTGGAGAAGAAGATGAACGGAATTTTTTCTTTTTGATACACATGCAGTGTTGTTCCTTCTCCGCCTTAACTCTAAAAATTTAAGGGGCAAAAAATAAATATCACCTTAATGCTTTAAAATTTAGAAAATAAGATAATTTAGTTTTTTTAATAAAAATTTATTGAAATAATATAATTTTAAGATATTTTTTTTTAATTTTTAAGAGATAAAGCTGACAAACATTTTTTTCATGGATATATATATATATATATACACACTGAAAAACTGTTTTACGCGGACTAAATCCAAGTGATATAAAATTATTTAAATATTTTTAAAAAATAATATAAAAACAAAATAAAAAATATTTAAATAATTTTATATAATAAATTACAAATAGAATAATTTTTTTCATAAATATATATATCTGAAAATTATTTTACAGAAAGAATTATATATAATTTGTTATGTAAAATTATTTAAATATTTTTAAAAAATATTAAAAAATAAAATTAAAAATATTTAAATAATTTTATAAGATAAAAGAGATATAAATATATATTAATAAATCGCAGTTTTTCATGGGCTCGGCCAAACCTTTCATTCATTTTATATTGAGCTTGAACTGCTTTTCATTCTCTTCAAACTTTATGGGCTAGGACATCCCTTCCCCAACCTTTTTGAATTGGGCTTGGACTGCTTTCATCCTCTTTAAACTTCATGGGCTTAAAGTCAAAAGAAACATTTATTAATTGATTGGGCTTTTCATTCTTTTCATTCCCTTACCTTTTTTATTTTCTGGATTGGGCTTGGACTACTTTCCACTTTTACTCTGGGCTCTGATCTGTTTATGAAAAAATTAAAAAAAAAAAACTTTTGAAACCATATTTTGTTAATCTTTTCATTTTTTTCATAAAATAAGTAAGAAGAGAAAAGTATTTATCACTCAGACTTTTAAAAAATTAAAGAAAACATTTTAAAAATTATATCATTTTAATAAATTTTTATTAAAAAAATAAAATAACCTACTTTTAAACGATAATTAAGTTTATTTTAATTTTTTTCAATAATACTTTAATAAAATAATATAATTTAAAGGTATTTTTCTCTTAATTTTTTAGATGCATCAAGCTACAAACACCAATCTCAACTAAGAAACATTTATTAGTTGATTGTAATCCTCCTTTGGTAATTACAAATAACCCTGAACAGGCACAACGGGCATCCTGCAATGATGCAAAATTTCTTATCTTTGCATGTGAAATTTCATAATTTGGTCCAGATAAAGGCCTTAAATATTATTTTTTATTGTTAAATACGTAAAGTTACACTTATCCCACCACCACAACCTCTAAATTTTACCAACGCAGTTTGGATCAACCGGTAAACGGCTTGTTCCAGTTTAAGTAAGATTTCGAGTTTGAAACCTTGTGTACGCAGCAGTCCCGCTGAAAGACTCACCCACCATTTCTAGGTGTGCAACGTGGATCGAGTCCGGATTAATCAAAGCGAAACCCCTGATACCGGACGGGAAGCCGAAAAAATAAAAAAACAACCTCTAAATTTTCGTTTTCAGTTTTACAACTCTATTTTGTCAATCTCATTATTCTATCAAAATTTTATGAACAAGTTGTTTATGATCATGAGTCAACTTTCTAAAAAATTAAGAGTTCTAATATTAATAAACAATATTGTTTTACGAGAAGTGATCTATTTACTTGTAAGTTTTATATATTATATTTATATAAAATATTGATAATTCATCTATTTATTTTTAATGATTAAAATTTATCACAACTTTTTAAATAAAAAATATTCATCTCTAATAATTATAAATAAATTTTTACCATTAAAAGTAGATGTATGAATAGTTGAGATTTCATATAAGAATGATATATAAAAGTTATATATAAATGAATCCTCACTTTTGTTTTATAAATGTGGTTATAGTTGTGTAACATTTTGTTAAAATCACACAAATTTTGTTTAATTTAATTGATATTTTATCAATTTATAAAATAATTAATTTTAATGTCTAAAAATATTAATTTATAAATTAATTTCAATCTATTAAAAATAAAAATTAATTATTCTTTTATTAATTATTATTAACAATTAAATTAATTTTTTTAGATAATATTATACAACTTCAACAAATTGTACACCATCAGATTATCTCTGCCTTGTTTTTCTGTTCCATTCGGTTTCTTTCTCCAATTATTGTCTGCAACTGGAGAGGAGACCTAGCTATCTCAAAAGATCCCCAAATCCGAAACAATTCACTGCAAACGGGATGCATATATACTCTCTATTTTCCTGGCTCAATCATCCAAAGCCAAACCCTATAAAGCTTTTAAACCAACATTCATACAGTCAAATGGAGATTTAATGAAATGACCTACACAATTTATGAAAAACTCTTACTCTCATGTTTCCAAAAAAAAAAAAAAAAAACTGTTATTTTTTTATTTTTTATAAATTAAAGATTTAATAATAATATTTATATCTATTTATAATGCTCTTATAAAAGAAATAAAAAATAAAAAATATAATTAAATGATTAATTAAAGTAAATAAATAAGATAAAATTAAAATAAAAAAATATTTATTTATTTTGAAAAATAAAAAGCAATTAATTTAAAATAAATATAAAGTAAAAAATTTAATTATTTTGAGATAAGAAATAATTTTTAAAGATAAATAATTGATGGCCATTATCCATTTTTTTTTTTTTAAATCTCTCTTTTTTTCTTTTTTTTTTTTTTTTGAACATTTTTGTTATGAAACTGATGATAAGAAACTGATAGAACGATTGTCTTTGGAGAGAAAAAAATGAATGATTAACACCACTTGGACCCGTGGGTGACGTTGTTTTAAATCTCCCTTTAACTGCAGGAAAAATAAAAAAATTCATATTCCATCCAAATTCAGTGCCCCTTTGATTAAATCAAAATGAAGTACACAATTCATCAGGTAGAGTACACAATTCAAAAAATAATAATAAAAAATAAATTCTCAAGTCTTATTAGCATGTGACTCTAAATATGTAATTTGTTTTAATCTTTTTATCTTTAAAAAAAAATAATAAGATGGATCATTTAATTGAAACACTCGTGAAAGAATGAATGGGGACAAACGAGAGTTCAAACTAAGAATATATAGGGGAGAAAGATTATTTTTGTCAATAATTTAACCAGTCATTATAAAAGCCTTCCTCCACTCATCTTGTGCATAAATAAATGAACTTTTATGAATCAAATCTTTAAATCCAATTATTCGGCCACAAGCCTTAAAGTGTTTGGGTGAAGTGGTTGGGGTTTCGACTTCTACCACCGTCTTGGAAACTTAAATTCCACCAAAGTAGCATGATGTAAATTGGAAAGGGTCATTTGTATCACATGTGAGGGGTGAAATGTTCACTTGATTTGGGGATCGAATTCACAGTTATTAATAATTAATTAAAAATTAACTTTTTAATCATTATTCTTGTAAAAAAAAAAAAAAAAGTAAACTTTCATGTTTTTGAAACTCATTAATTAAAAAGTATAAAAATAAAGTAAAATATTAACTGTAACATGCTATAAAGAAAATAGTGTCACACTAGCATTTTTAGGGTGCCCCAGTAACTGTCGTTCAATTAGAGTCAAAATCCTGCATTTGTAAATTGGAAAGGGTCATTTGTGTCACATGTGATGCATTTAGATTTGTGCTAGTAAGAGACAAAGATCTCTCACTTTCGGTAAAAAGTAGGGTGGTGGGTCTGACATGACATGGAGATAACAGCTTGGAATCAATTTCTTGTTCATCTTTTGTCAAAGACCACATATATTTTTGTCCAACTACCGATCAAAGTCTAAAGAGGCCGGTCGTATTTGATATTTGGAATAGAATCTTCCTCATTTTTCATTCATTTTTATAAATTTCATGTCTCAACACACCCATCTCTGAATCCTAAGGGACAACAATGCTCCTCCTCCTTCTAAGGTCTCCTATAAACAGGGTCCTACAATCATTGCAAATGGGATTTACTTTTATGAAATGCATACACTAACTTTCTATCATTGTGCCATTGAGGGCGCTATCTTTTATTAGTGGCAAATGAGGACACTATCTACGTGATGCTAGTAAATACTAGCAAATTGAACAATGTTCTACTCACATTACTCACATTATTATGCCTCGCCAAGACCATGCTCACAATAAGGTTTGGATTCAAAGTAGATGACTTAATTAACACAACAATTGAGAATATCTTCAAGAGTACCTACTGAAACAAAAAAAATCTTTGCGCAACCATATATGGGCATGATTGCCATCTTGGTTGTATTGATATCTCTCTCTCTCTCTCTCTCTCTCTCTTGCCAACTGATCCACACATATGTTGCTCTCCTTGATGATATGCAAAAGCTTGACAAACTCAAACTATTGGATTAACTCTCTACAATCCAAAATGAAGGTGCTAAGACAATGCCAACAAAAAAATTAATTAAAAAAAAAAAGGTGCTAAGACAATTGGAGGAAATGCAAGGAGAAGAAAGTAATTGAATAGCATATGCAGAGTCAAACTCAAATAAAACTCTAGAAAAACCCTTTTGCTTAGCAATCACGATCTTGTCTCTCAAAGTCCACAATTCAACAATGAGGCTATCTGTGATACCAACATTTCTAGCATGTTCCAAAACCCATGTGCCCTTATAGTCTTTAAAAATACCCCTTGCACTTGACTAAGCAGGACACCCCATGGCAAAACCAATAGTATTGAGCTTTAAATTCCTTACAGGTTTGTTCCAACAAGAGAGACAATGTTGTCTATGGAGCCAACCAAAATTCAACAAATTTGTAAATAATGGAATTGCGCAAAGAACCAGTATCTTATTCTTAATTTCTATAAAGCACACAATTCCTATCCAGTAAAATACACTACACAATAACAAAGAAAAGGGTATTTGAAGGAATGTTAAAGTAAGAAGAATTTAAAAACTTCATAGCTTGTTTTTTAAACCATGCAACAACAAAATATATATATATATATATATATTCACATCCAAGAAATCAACACTTGAGCCTAATATTGTTGTTTTCTTTTATACACCGGTAGCTTTAATCTTTAGTTAGAGTCCAATGCACCAAAAAATATATATATTCAAGATATAAATTCTTACAAAATTTAGTTAAGTTAGATCACTCCATAACACATGAATGATATTTTATCATCTTTCTATCTTTGATTTCACTTTTATATTATGTCTAATAGTATAACTTTGTCAATGTAATCTTGAGAGAGCTAATAGCATGCGAACTTGTATTCGTTGGCATTGTATGGATGGTGTCCTTATTTTTCACCACTAGAATGTGGCCTCAATTGCATAATTGAGAAGAGTCGGCATCCTTAGTTGATGTTTTTGCATTTATCTTTTCCTAGCAACAGGGCTAACAATGACACAATATTAAATAGATGGATATATTCATGTTTACACATGAGGTAAGTGGAAATATCTAATAAAACTATACCACACCATATGATTATACTAATTAAATCCATTGAGAATTTAAGACAAACATTTTTTTAGTTTTGTTTTTCAACGGTCAAATTGAAACTTTTTGTAAAAGAAAAAAAAAAAAAGGTAATAAGAGTAATTACCCATAATCTATGATGAGGAAGAAAAAATGAAAAACCTAATTTGGCCCACTCTTGGGAAGGAATCTGAATGAAACTTTTTTTTTAATTAATTCTTTTATATTTTCTCGCAGGGAGGCAGCTTTTTAGAATTGGATGCATTTCTTTTCATTTGGTCAAGTCAAGGAAATGAAAAATCAGAAGAAAGGGTATTAAAATATCCACTTGAAAAATACTTTTTTAGCAAAAGATCATGTGTTATTCCCTTCCATTGCAGTAGCTAAGTCACGGGTGCGCCTTGAGATTAACAATTAAAAGAAATGAATAAAAGTCAAGAATGTTCCAAGTAACATGCATAGAAACAGGATATTTTGCATCAAAAAGAAAAATGATAAACGCAAATTTATTTCAAGGACAGTTAGCATGAATTTCAAAAGAAATTTATTTTAAGGACAATCTTATAATCTCATGCCACAGCAAATTATGATTGAATTTTTTTTTTATGGTATGATGGATTATTTCACTTATAAAAATATGTTAATTAATTAATTATAAAAGTAAGGATTTATTTATATACAAGTTTTACATGCAAAATTTATATAAAATTTTAATTATTTATTTTTTAATTTTTATTTATTAAAATTTATTTATATTAATTAAAAATAATTATTTGTTCACCTAAAAAATTATAATAAATTTTAATTATTAAAAGTAAAAAAATTAATAGTTAAATTTTTTTATAAATATAGTGTGTAAAACTTATATACAAGTAGATCCTTCCTCTTGATATAATATTTTTTGATTTTGATATAATATTTATTAACTACATCTTCACTATTGTAAGACTCTATGTCACATAATATGTGTATTAAATTCCTTAGGAAATAAATTGGAGGAATGAATCTACTGCTAATTAAATATCTAATCAAGTTTATGATTCAATTTTTAGAATTAATATTTAAGAAAATTAAAATTTTAAATATACTAAAGTGATGTAAGTGTCTCTTTTTAAAAATTTTTTAAAAAATTATTTTTAAAGTGTATAAAAATTAATTTAAAAACATATCGATCATCCAAACACAAGCTAAAAAAAAGTTACTTATGAAATACTAACAACTAGCTCCCTCTTGATTTGTAATTAAATAAATGAGGGTTGTCAAAGATAAAAGTGATACGGTATATCTATCTTGTTTATATAATCATAATTTACTATAAAGTTTTTATTTTTTGAATGCATAATTTATTGTAAAGTTTAATCAGCAATTAATCCTATAAAAATGTGGATTTGAGATAACATTGTAAGGAGGAATAGTGACAGATTTGCTAATCGATACTCTTATTAAAATTTGTTTTTGCAGATACTATTTGAGAATATATATGTATAATGTTCCTCCTAGGGAAGAAAAAACAATATTAGAAACCCATCTCATTACATAATTTGTCTCGAACTTTGCATAATTGTTGGACCTTTATGGTCGGAACAAGGATCGGAAAAATATACTTACAGCTAGACTAAACAGTCTCGATGAATCCTGAATTAATCTAAGCTGCGCAAAAGAAGTTTTGGAAGTGCCCTTACCAAGGGGAAAGTCCCACTTGTGTTACCAAGGGAACAATCAATAACTAATTAATGGGTCATTGGATCTTATTGTAGTACTTCCTCAATATTTAACTGACATGGTCATACGCTTCTCAAAGTTAGAAAAACTACAGAGAAAGAAAGAGAGAAGATTAGCTTTTATTTTAGTGATGACAGGCTCATATGTTTCTGCCTCATAAAGTTAGAAAATTATAATGAGAGAGAGAGTAGGACATGCTTTTAAACTAAGAGTGAAATGGGAAGAAGAATAAGAAGAAGAGGCATAAGTGATTGGTGTTATTATCTCTCTGGTAAGATATGGCGTTCACAGTAGAGCATCATCAGAGTGGTCAGAAGTGTGAAGAAATGGTGTTCACTGTGGAGTCACAAAAGGCAGTTCCAGCACCATTTCTCACCAAGACATACCAATTGGTGGATGACCCTCAAACAGACCACATTGTGTCTTGGGGTGAAAATGAGACAACCTTTGTTGTCTGGAGACCGCCTGAGTTTGCCAGAGATCTCCTTCCTAACTACTTCAAACACAACAACTTCTCTAGCTTTGTCAGGCAGCTCAATACCTATGTAAGTGATAATCATATTCATTCCTCTGCATCTCTACCAAAACCCCTGTTTTTTCAGGGTGTTATTTCTTAGTGCAAACCCTGTTTTCTTACTTCTGCCAAATTATTTTCATGGTTAAATAAATTAGTTAGTATTCTTAATTAGCTATTACTTATTAGCTTAATTGCAAATTAATGGAAATTCAAAATTATTAATAATCAAATTGGTATTGGCACTGCTGAGATTTTTCTTTAAATTCCACAAATTGTGTAGTACTAATTCGACTAAACTCTTATCTTTTGCTGCTTCAATTCTGTTGCAGGGATTCAAGAAGGTGGTAGCAGATAGATGGGAGTTTGCAAATGAAAACTTCAGGAAAGGAGCAAAGCACTTGTTATTGGAGATTCACAGAAGGAAAAGCCCTCAGAACCACCACCACCATGATTCATCCCATCAGTTTCTTCTCAGACCAGAAGACAGTTACTATGGCAACTGGGTTGTTGAATCTCCTTTGCCATCTCCCAAATCCGCGGCAGAGGCCGATATCCTGACGGCTCTCACCGAAGACAACCAGCGGCTGCGGAGGAAGAACTACATGCTGTTATCTGAACTGACCCACATGAAGAACCTCTACAATGATATTATCTACTTCATTCAAAATCATGTAAAACCAGTAGCATTAATGCCACGTGATAATAATAATAACATAGCACCCAAGGTCATTGAGTTGGGTCCTTCATTTCAGGATCAGATCGGAAAGAAGTCGGTGACTTTAACGGAGGAGGCAAACGGTGAAACAGTGAAGCTTTTTGGGGTTCCTCTGAGTGGAAAGAAGAGACTGCACCCAGAAAAGATGGATCAAAAAGAAGCACAGGAATAGTATGGGGTCTCCCCTGTTTAGCATGTTTTTGAACATTTTTGTAGATATATTGAAATGTAGCTCTCCTTAACGCAATTAGTAGCCTTCTTTCTCTCTCTCTCTCTCTTCTTTTTCAAAAAATGAAAAAAAAAAAAGTCTTGACATTTGATGCACTTGTTAGAGATAAGTTAGAAATTTCAACTTTAGACTTTTTTTAATTTAATAATGTATGTTTTATTAATGGAGAGCTTAAGCTTTTGTTCAAGATTTTTTACTTTGAATAGTTAAATAGATGGGAGAGGATTTAAGAATTGAAAGAGTTATTTCCAAGGACATATATACATGTATGAAAAGGGAAAAAATATAATTTGCATGATGAACATGAATTTTATGTAAGATGTTCTCCCTTTTCTTTTTCTCCTTTCGATCATACCAAGGATGTATTGTGGAATGAAAAAGAGAAGAAAATGATAAGTTTCAGGGAATGTAAGTGGAGGGGTATTGGGCAATCATGTGGTGCTTTGAGTCTAGTGTCCATCGCAATATGGAATCCAAAAAGTTATTTTACCATACGAAAAGGATAAAAAGAGACCATCAAAAAAGAAAGAAAACAGCAGCTGCAGCAGCTGCAGAGTCACAAGAACAGAGGCATTTGATTAGGGGCAAAAAAATTTTTTTTAAAAAGGAGAGATTTTGGCTAAAGATTGCTTCGGGATTCTAATAATAAAAATGCACTACATTTCGATTATCTTTGGGATGCGAATTTGGTTTTTATGCAAACAATCCTTTATATATTAGTTTTTTTTTTTTTTTCTCTTTTTGAAGAAAACTCTGTTTTGATTCTTTTAAAGGTTTTTTTTTTTTTTTTCATCACTATTTGGGCCGAAATGAGTAGAATTACCCATATCCAATTGTGTTTTTGGGTCATTGGGTAAAAAGGGTTTACGTCTGTCTCTACGTACGCCAATCTTAGGCTAGTCAAATGCAATGGTCTAACCATGGCCCACAAGTGATGGGCTTCAATTGTCCATTGATTTGCTACAATTTACAAATAAATAATCCAATTCAAGCCTGGTCCACATGCTTGAAATTGTTCCTGCTGGCCCAGTGAGCAATAATAAGCATGTCAAAGGGAAAAAAAAAAAATGAAAAATGAAAAAAAAAGAACAAGGTTATCTATTAGTTATTGGTGAAATATTTACGAGAAAGGAAATGTCATTTTTATAAATTATTAAAAATTTGAGTTTACGTCAACCATTTAATGACTTAGTAGTAATCTTCTATTTCCTCTACCTTAGAATAATGATTTTTATTTTAAATTTATCTTAAATTAATTATTATTTTTTATTTTGCAATATAGTTTTTTTCATTTTAACCATAGTATTATTTATTTACTTTAATTAATCATCTAATCCTAAAAAATCTTTTTATCTTTTATTTTTTTAAAAGATATTATAAATAAATAAAAATATTATCTTTAATTTTTTAATTTTAAAAAATTAAAAAATAATTATTATTTTAAAATAAAAGAAGTACCAATAGAATTAGATTGGTGAGAATAAAATGTGGCTTCTACAAGATTCTTT